GAATAGCGTCTAATCACAGGGTTGATACAGTAAGTTCTGAGTCCTGCTGTCTAACCAGGGAAGCAGCCCTGAAACTTTTATACAGGTGAAGAGGGCCCTGGAGAGGGATTTTTAAGTGATGTGCTGCTTACTGGTGCTGTTTCGTGTCGTGTGTGCTTTGCTGACCGCAGCGTGCTGTCAGACAATCACCTTCCTTTCGAGATTTCACTTCATGCCTCGCAACCAGTAAGCTGGCTGCGGGGACAATGCTGCAAAACAATTATTGCAAAATCCAATCTCCTTTGTAATTCCTCTGTGGTCTCTCTGTTGCCGAGTTTGGATGAAGATTTCTTTCTCTCTGCTGCAGAGCAGCAAATCCAGTCTCACAAATACTAGCAACCTCGCAGCCCATGAGTGTTCGTTCTGCTGGGTGTGTGACTTTCATGCAACAGTTTCCAAGACCAGACATAGACTATCGAACTGTACATGGGAACGTTAGAATGGTTACACGTGCTAGGTGGCCATTTGACATGTTCAGCCCATTTGGTAGCTAATTGATCCAAGGATTTCATTCAGCTATTTAATGAAAGAAGCGGAGTAGCTTGTTCCATACCCCTACAACTCCCTGTGTAAAGATGTGACTCCTCTTCTCAGTTTTAACTACACTTCCATATCGTTTCCACTTGTGTAGCCTGCTTCAGATTTCACTGATTATTCTGAAGTCCTCTGGGTTAACTGTGCCGTAAGCCAACCTTGCATACCCCCAAATGAGAAAGGGACACTTCTCAAGTTTTAGAATGTCTCGTGTTCTTTAGAACCATGACCCCAGAGCTCCAGGATCAGCGCTAATGTGGCTGCCTGCCACTGGCTCAGAGGGCAATCCGTAGTGCAGTGCAATCTGAGAAAGGACAAGAGAAGGACTCAGCAATCGTTCTAACTCAGCAAAAAAAAAGTGACAACAATAATGCTATGTTTAGTTTAAAGAAACAGCTAGACATTTAATACAATTGAGTAATACTAATACTAATGCTTATTTTTTGAAGTTATTTTTTTCTATGATAACATATTGATTACAAATAGTGTGCACTTACTGAATATGGAACATTAGAGATAGAATATGTGTAGATTAGCTTTGATCATCTCTAGTTTTAAAAATTGTTTTAATTGTATGCTTACAAAGAAACGTCTGCATGCTCCACTCCTAGTAATGCCTAAGCTGAAGGCTTTTTTTCTGAATCGCTTTCTCAGTTCTTGTGGTGTTGCCAACAGGTCAGGGTGAGCCAGAGTAAAGGTTATAGGGTGAGTCTGAGGGGTGTCTGTATGTGATACGGCAGGAGAAAACTCGGCTTTAAAGATCTGTTCCATTCAATGGCTTTTTTCTCTTTACACTCTTAATTATCTCATTGCAGTGTATCATGAGTTGACTTAGTAAAATACAGTGGGCATTCAAAACAGGTAAAAATCGATTAGGGTCCCTGTACAGTTGTCACTTTCACTTTTTAGTATGTTGTAGGTTGACCTTAATACTGCAAACCCAAGGAGAACTTTAGATTCTCCTAGCTAGTGACGTAATATACTGTACTTACTGTATAGACCAAAAAGTCTGACTGACATGTAAAGTAATGGGAAAGAATTGGTTTATAAAATAGAAAAAGGAGCATATAGATAAGGGTTGAAGTCTCAAAGGGAGTTGTAATTAGTGGAGTATTGTAAGTATTCAGAAAGAACAGTTCTGAAACCCTGAACCAGTGAGCAAAAGTGGAAGCTACTGTATATGAAAGTTTCATTAAAAACCAAGAAAAGGAGCCACTTCTTTACGCAAAGGGTTGTAGGAGTATGGAACATCCTGCTTGGGCATGTGGTTGAAGCCGATACCCTGGCTTCTTTTAAGAAACAGCTGGGTGAGATCCTTGGATCAATTAGCTACTAACTACCAAACGGCTTAAAGTCTTCCTCTTGTTGTAACGTTTCAGATTTCCTTATGTAAGAGAGATGGGATCCTCACGGTGGACTCTTCAAGGAGCTAATTTAGTGTTCAGTGACCAGTACATCATTACCCAGGTAATACAGCTGTACCCACATCTGTAGTCCTCGCAAGTCTTCTACACTTTACACTTAAATATGGTGGAGGTCTGAAATAACTTGAAAACTGTTATTTTACTACATACTATCGATTGTATTTTTGTGATCCAAATATGTGACAAAACACCAAAGAGTTTTAGGTGAACGAATCCATACCGGTTTGATAACTTTCGTTTAGGGGCTGTATTATACTTGCTACGATGTACAAACCTTTAAGCTATATTCCCTATTTTTCTCCTTGTAACTTTATGTTTTTGCCATTTTTTTCTATTACTGTTAAAATAACCAATATGTATACATAAGTATTGAAATCGTTTCAGAAGTAAGAAGTAATAATAGATTATTTTGAATTATTATATTACATTATTAAACTGAGACATTAAAAACTCAACAAATGCTATTGACTCAACCTCTCAATTTATGTTTTTTAATGCCTCTCAATATAAATGTATATAAAATGTCAGTAGGTGTCCTGTTAATAGGTGCACAATATTATTAGAAATCATATATATATTTTTTAAAGTATTTTCTGCATATAATATTGTACCATGTTTGCAAAATAGTATAAAAGGATTTATAATCCTCTTACAATTTACTAATATTCTGTAGCTGTTAAGAACATAATCGATAAAAGAATGACCTGTTATTTGGAATTTTAGATTTGTGGCTTAGCTTTTCATACATTCATCCTGGAGGTGTCTTTTCAGAGTGGTTTTGGCCTGTACTACTCAATGCAAAAATTGTTGGTGACAGGAGAGACAACAGACAAACAGCCAATTGGATAGTAAGCCAATTAAAACCTTAATAAATAGGTGCCAATCAGATCTGGTAAGTCTGTAATTGTGTATCTGGATTATTGCCTACACACTGTTCCAAACCCAAACAGGCTCTGTACTACAGCAGAATCGTGCACAATTCCGAATCCTACAGCAGAATAGAACAGAATCCCGCACAACATGCATCTAAGATTTCTTTGCAAACCTGAGGTGTGATTCTGATCATGACGTCTGTGCTCACTCAAGGACTGACTGCCCAACATCAGTAAGGCATCGCTAACGAGTAAGAACAGGCATGTTAAAAATTAAAGTAAGCGTTCGGAACATTGGTCAGGACTGACATGACAGCAGTGGAAAGGTATAATGGAATAGTCATTCTCTGTGAGAACACGCACAGTTAACTGTGTTATTTTATAACGCAAAACATATTTTATTCATTACCACTCACACGGCTTGTGTAATAAGGAACCGCAGCACCTAAAATCCATGCCTTCAGAACTATATACACTTCAAATTCCCAGAAAAATCCAAAGAAATGTGCTCTGAGACCTGGCCATTAGGCAGCACTGATACTGCGGACTGCAAAGAAGCACTTTTTGCTGTTGAGATGGATTCCAGTGCTGAAACAATGCAGTGTACCTGCAATAACACATTACAGTCTGGAGAGAATGTTTGTCGTTTCCCTAATCTGCCCACATATGGACAGTCAAGTGATCGGTTTAAACAGCCTTATTCATTCTGAATATTTCCTTTCGTACCCCAAATCCTTGAATGAATCGTGCTCTGTGCAACTGTCAATTCTTAAACCGATAATAACAGCTTCGACCTGCCTGTTACATTTCTTAATATTCATGAGAGGTAAGGTTCTTTATTCCCCTCAAGGAAACAGAAGGGAACAAACTTGCACTGGTCTGAGTGGACGTGCCGGACTGCATTGTCTTTTGAAAAAGATTTTTTTCCGTGGCTCTGCTCGGCGTGAAGTCTAAACATCATAATCATCTCAGTCACATCTGGGGGGGGGGGGTGACTCTTGTGCTCTGAGACTTCAAAACAGGTTTAACTTTCATTGCATTTCGTCTTTGTAGCTGTGGAACCCTGTGCAATGCCCCACAGTTTCTTGCAGTGCCTGCAGAAGATCTAAGGCAGAGAGGGAGAGAGGACTGAAATAAAATCAACCCTACTGCTTTGATTCTCTCTCTATCAGCTCCCCCCTCTTTCCTCCTCTCTCTCTCTCGTGCCTGTTTATTGGCTCTGAAATGAGCGGTGAATGAGAGAGAGAGAGGGAGCGAGCGAGCGACAGTGTGTGTGTGAGAGATGTTGGGGAATTTTTTTTTTTGCCTGCATCAGCAGCATTGCAGAGAGAGGAAGAGAGGTAAAGACCGAGAGAGATCCAGTGCAAAAAAAACCCCAAATAAAGCCAGCAAGTAGAGTCCATCGCTCTTCTGCGTCCATGACAAGCCAAGCAGAGAGGGGCGCGGAAGGCATCCTCTCCTGCCGTCCTTAAGGTCCCTACTCGAGCAGGGCAGGGAGTTTGGCAGGGCTTGAATTACAGCACACTGCATCAGCGCATGGGTCCTGCGCTCTCCCTTTGCAGCTGCTAAGAAGTCGTCGGCAGGGCTACAGAGTGGAGGAGCTGGGCAAAACGAAAGACCGTGTGCATTTTTTTTTGGTGAATAATGTATAGCGCCAGAATGGCTCTGGTGCACACAGCATCTTTTGCATCCCGGAGCGTAAACACAGAAGCCATTCTGTGCTGCTAGAGGGGGGGGGGG